CCTGGCCCCGGGTGCTGCCGCAGTGCTGGGGCCTGGCTCCAGGTGGAGGTGGGTGGATGTTGCTCAAGCATAGGAGGGCTCTGGGGGCAACTGCTGCTCCCTGGGAATCCCTTTCACCTGCTATTACCCTCTTCTGTTTTCTACTCTTTTCTATTTATAAAAGATACTCGAACTCCTGGCACCGCAGAGACATAAAATTGGCTATTCTAAAGGAAAACTGCTTTGCCCCCAAGCCTGGGAGGTGAGGGCAAAGGGCAATTTCTAAATCCTCGGCCAGCAGCTGGGCTAAGTGCAAGCCCCTGGGCAGAGGGCGGCAGCCCCAAGACACCCTCCTCTCTGCCACCACGGTCCTGCACCCCAGAGGAGGGGGCCGGGCCTGCTGCACCTCCTGACCAGAGCCAGGCCCGTGCTGGGACTTCCAGATACTGCTCTAAGACTTCCTCCAGCATCGAGGTTTCTCAATAAAGATGCTGAGCCAACATTGGTGGTGGTTGTGTCGGGAGGAGGCAAAAGGGTGGGATGAGGACAGGATCGCTGCTTGCTGGGGACAGGAAGGTGACAAGGGGGCTCCCCTCCACCCCTCACGGCAGCCGTACCGCTTTACTCCCCTTACCACAGCAGGCAAACTGTGCCAACCAGCAGCGGCCTTGTGTCACCGCTTGTTCTGGGTATAAGGACAGCCCTTGAGGGAGGGGATCTGCTGTATTAGGCCCTGAGCCTAATAAGGCTCAGCTGTCCCCACTGGCCCGGGGCCCTGAGTGCACTAATAAGGCTCAGCTGTCCCCACTGGCCCATCCCGGACCCCCAGCCATGTCTGGGAGCCCGGCCAGCTGAATCCCAAGGACCTCTGCACCCCTTGTGTGTGCCACCTTCAGCTTCCTCAGGGCCTGTGCAGAAGCTGCTGCGGTCCCGCAGGTACCCCAGCCCCTCACCAGTCTGGCATAGCTGGTGCTGCTGCACGTGACTCGAGACATCAGGTCTGCGCACACCTCTCGGCGGGGAACAGCCGGATGCTGTCCAGGTAGGGCACAACGCAGCTCTGGAGCAAATCCCTCAGGACATCGCTTCCAAAATACCGGAAGGTGCCTGGAGCATTGCAGAGGCTGACTGACATCATCCTACAGCAGGAAAATTGGGGCGTGCGTCACAGCAGAGGAGCTAAGGGCAGTCCCAGGGCACACAGCCCATGTCTCCAACCCCGGACCTTGCACACTACTCACTAGGCCACACTGCATCTCTCCTGCAAGTTTTTACATATTTAAAAGTGCTTATATATTTGAAACAGGCTTATTGTGTGCCACCCCTACATATTTACATCTGAGAGCCAACAAGACAAGTCAGTGGAGTGCATGCAAGGCAGCACGGGGGAGCAAGCAGCCTGCACTCCGCCAGGAATCCCTCAGCAGCACTCTGGGGGATACAAACTCAAACCCTCCAGCTCCGCCACCTCTGGCAAAGCCTTGTTTTTCCGGAAGAAGAACCGAGTCTCCTCCTCAGCATCCAGGATTTCACTGAGGGATGACACCACAGGGTCATGGTCCTTCAGCATCTCTGGGAAGCGGCTCCCAGCCCGCTCTATCCGCAGTGAGCGCCGCACTGGCGTCAGGAATTTCAGCTCCTGGCCTTCCAGCAGCTCCTTTCCTCTGCGGGGAGGACAAAAGCCTTTAGGTAAATCCTGCAGAGGAGCACTGGAACAGGCAGAGGGTGCTTGCTGCCAGGAGCAAGCAACTCGGCCTTACCCGGTCGCAGACGTAACTTGTAACTTGATTGAGACGGGCAGGCTGGTCAGGGATCTCCCCGTCAGGCAGGGAGTCGCTACCACGTGCTGCCTCTCGCTCGGGCAAGGCGTTGTAGGCTCCCAAGGAGTGGGCTGCTCAGCCTTTTCCCCTGACAGGAGAGGAAGAGGGCAGCGCGGTTGCAGAGGGGGCAGAGAGCGGCAGCTGGGGAGGTATTACAACACCACAGCACTCCGGACACGGGCAAGGGCACCTCGCTACAGATGGGCCGCGACCGTGCCCAGCCCTGGCAGAGGAATCTTGCCCCATTTTCGAGATCAGGATTCTGGACTTTCACAACACTTGGTCTCCATCAAAGTCGACAGGGACATGGGGTGCTGGGACAGACTGCAAACCACGCTGCTTCCCCACCTGCAGCAGCAGGGAACCCCAGCCTGCCCACGCTCCAGCCTTCCAGCTGGCCCCCACATGCACATTACCTTCTGATGTTTGGTCTGCAGCCTTCAAAATATCAAGGACAACTTCTCTGAGCTCCTGGAGTGGCTGCAGGAAGAGCAGAACGTGGGTCAAGGCAGGCCTGACTCGGGAACGGAGACTGGAGTTACAACTGAACAGGAAAAGAGGTTTTTGCTGCATCGCAACACCCTGTGCTGGAGACGGCAGCAAAAGGCTGCAGAATTTCCCTTCTCCGAGTAAGATCTGTCAGCACACAGGCACAGCTGGGCAGGCATCCACCCCGTGCGGGTAAATCCCACCAGATGCTGCAGTTACGTCGCCCAGACCAGCACAGAGCCGCCATCACATTGCTTCCAGCTACAACTCTGACACAGCGCAGGGTACGCGTCCTCCCCCTGACCCCATTCATGCCTGCACAGCGCTGCCTGCTTGGCTGATTAAAGCCGAAGGTGTTTCTACAGGACAAAACGTGACGGGCAGCTCTAAAGGGCTTTTTCACCAGTGACTAGTGCTGCTAAACTCATCCCAAAATCTGACCCCTGGGATCTCGAGGAAACCTGCTGGCGCAGAGGCAGGGAACACAGGGAGGTACTGAAGAGAAGCATGCCTCACTCACCACAGCACCAGCGCAGACTGCTGCTTTGTACAACCCCGTCACGTCAAAAGGGCCGCTCCGGGCGAGGAGTTTCGCTTTGCAGATCCAGAACTTGGCAAATTTCTCTGCCTGGGGCACGTGGGACAGCACTGCAGAGAGCTCCTCTGCCTGGACACCCTACAAGAAGGGTAAGGTCCCGGAGAAAGGTGTCAATTGCAAGGGCCAGAGGTGTGCACTGGGGGAGCTGTCAGTGCGTAACTGCTCTCCCAGCGCTCTCTAGGAAAAGGAGTCTCTGAAGAGTCTGGTTTTTTGCAAGTCTCCTATGTGACCATGGACAGATAACAGCTTTCCTGCCTCATTCTCCCCTTGGTAAAATGAGTCTAGCATTTCAGAGGGATGTCAAGGGATAGACTCTTCAGTGCTGGCACTAACAGAAGCCACTAAACCCTGGAGCAGGGCTAGCGGTCAGCATTCCCAGAGATGATACTTCACAGCAGCTGTGAGGTCCACCAGGGATGTACCTTAAGCTGGCTCAATCAGCCTGGGCTGCCGCCGCAGAAATTACTGCTGCAGACTGTGCTGCCAGGTACCAGGACACCAGCAATGACACACACAAGCCCCGTGACTGGGTATCACTCCATTTTCCCCATTAGAGCATCTCGCCGCGTGCCTTTGGCCTAATCCGTAACTCCACGAGGACCTTTACTTTTCCTACGCGTGATGTTACCCCTCTGGCAACTGCAGCCAAGCGAGCAAGAATGCTTGCTCCTCTGTGCTGTTGGGGGGACATGGCCCTCATCTCCCGGGACGCTCCAGGAGAAGAGGAGGCCATTCAAGCAGCTCCTTTCCCATTCCCACCTCCTCAACAAGCTTCAGGCACTCTGTTAATATGTTGTTGATATTCTCCAGGGAGAGCTGCTCTGGTTTCTCTTGCTTCTCTTTCTCCTTGACATTTCTCCAGGACAGCTTCACTGCCTTTTTCTGAAGCAGCATCATAGGTGGCCGCTTGTATATCTTGCCTTTGGATGCCAACCACTCCTCCAGCTGTTTCCTGTCAAAGGACCAAGGGATCACTGTTACCACCCCAGCAGACTGCCAGCACTTGCCAGGCTACTGTTTTCCCTTGGAATCTCCCTTTAGCCCACTTCAGCTGCTCAGGAAGAACCAGCACATCTATCCTAAAAATGCATCCGAGCTCTAGACTGGAAAAGGAAAACCCTCTCAAGTTTAACCATGCCTTGAAGATAAAACAGGAGAGTGGCCGCACACTCTTCTCCCACTTTTGCTGAATCAGTGGGAGAGGAACCCAGAGTACCACCAAATCTCATCTCCACCCTCTTCTTTTCTGACGCATCAACCTCCAAACAGGCATTCACTGATAAGGGGACTTTGGACCCTCTTTTCAGCAGGTTAGCACTGGTTCACCCAGTTGAACACTTTAAACTCTACTGTCCCCTTGAGGCGAGGACTGAGCCGGCCAAAGCCGCTACTTACTTACGATCCGCAGCCGATGGGGTCTTGGGAACACGCCTAGCCTGTAGTCCACTTGCTTTTGGCAGCTCTGGTTTGAGCCTACCTCTCCTACTCCTAAAATCGCTCTCAATTGCTTGAGTTTTGGAGCTGTGTATGCTGTGAGGCTGGTTTTGGGGGACCATCACTCGGGATGCTGCTGTGCGTCCGGGAGGCACCACCTTCATGTCCTTCCTATCCGCCTCCCCTTTAGCCATGGGCCTTTGCCATTGCACCGTGCCACCTGGTTTCAGGCTGGATTTCAGGTTTGTGGTCCCCTGGGGCCTGCTGGAGGCCGGAGGCTTTGTGGGAGATCTTTTCAGTTGGGGGGGTCTACTGTGGTGCTTAAGACCTCCCACTGGAA